GTGACTTGTTATAGAAGTGTGACGTGTAAAAGAAGTGTGACTTGTTATAGAAGTGTGACGTGTAAAAGAAGTGTGACTTGTTATAGAAGTGTGACGTGTAAAAGAAGTGTGACTTGTTACAGAAGTGTGACGTGTTATAGAAGTATTGCTTGTTATAGAAGTGTGACGTGTAAAAGAAGTGTGACGTTTTAAAAAAGTGTGACGTGTTATATAAATATGATGTAATAGAACTAAACGTGTTTTAGAAGTGCGGCTTGTTATAGATGTGTGACGTGTAAAAGAGAGTGACGTGTAAAATGAATGTGAGAAGAAAAAGAAGAGCGACGTGTTATAGAAGAGTGATGTGTTACATAAATGTGACATGATTTAGAAATGTGACGTGTTATAGAAGTGCGGCGTGTAAAAGAAGTGTGGCGTGTTATAGAAGAGTGATGTGTTATATAAATGTGACATGATTTAGAAATGTGACGTGTTATAGAAATGCGGCGTGTAAAAGAAGTGTGGCGTGTTATAGAAGTATGACATGCTATAGAATTGTAACGTATTTTAGAAGTATGGCGTTGTCTTTGTCTATGTCTGTACGCTCAACAGAGTTTATTTATTACTATTTACTTAAAAAATGTGGCGTATTATCGTCAGAAAGCTTGTCAGATGTTATGACTTATCTCAAAATTTTGAATTGCTTAAAATAGAGTTTTATCGAAGATTCTTAATTAGCATTTGGGGTCGGTTGCATTCGCTCAAGAGATCAATGCTGAATATCCCTCACCCCTTTCACCTCGCCCTCCATCACCCCCAATTTCCTCCTCTCCCCTCCCCCCCCCCCCCCATCCCCTCTAGGCCATAGACACGAACCATCACCCGCTCTACTACATGTTCCCTGTGGCCCTGTCCTGCTCCTTCGCCTTCATGTTGCCCGTAGCAACCCCACCAAATGCCATTGTCTTCGCCTACGGTCGGATTAAGATCAGCGACATGGTGAGTTTTGTCATTGCCTTCTGGTCTAGTTGCTTCTTTGCTGTTGTTGTCGTCGTCGTCGTCATTGATGTTTATTTTGTTGTTGTTGTTGTTGTTGTTGTTGTTGTTGTTGTTGTTGTTGTTGTTGTTGTTGTTGTTGCTGCAGCTGCTTCTATTGGTGTATCTAATGTAGTTTTCATTGCTGAGTATGTTGTTGTTTGTTGTCGATCTTGTTGCAATGAGTGACATTTGGGCTACAAGTGTCCTGTGAATTGTCGTTCTTGCTTATATAATGCTATGGTGCTTTTTGGTGAGTGGGTGGTTGGAGTGTGCTCTAGTGTGGTTTGCTCCTTCATTCCTATCATGCATCTATCGTCTTTACCTCTTCCCCAGGTTTTTTGTTTGTTTTGTTTTCCGTATGTTACTGTTCAATTACACCTCTAATGTTCGGTATTCATAATATATGATCTATCCGAGTTGTAAGAGCCGAAAAAGTTACCAAAACTAAACTAGTTGGTGTTGTTTATACTATGTGGTTTAGCTTTATGACATTTGTGTTGTGCATAGGTCGTGTATCACTCAAAATGTTAGCAATAATCAATAATGGCGATATTTGAAATAATCCGAAAGGTAAAGGGTATAAGTTACCTTGAGGGGTTGTTTTGAGAAAAGGGAGAAGTAAACCAAAAACCAAAAAAAAACCAAAAAAAAGAAACTCCTGCTGAACTTAAAAATGATGTACGTGTAGGCCTTCTACCGAGTTTGGGTAAATTTGTATAGGCCATAACTCTGATATAAAATCATGCAGTCATTTTATTCATATGTTTCGTTGTGTAGTCTCCCCTGACGTGTGTCGTCATATTATCATTATAGTGTAGTTATATGTGACTAAGAAGACCCTTTATATTTTTGACTACTTCATTTATTTTCACTGTATGATCCTAAGATATCCCTGTGATCTGTAATGATCTCTGTCTCCTAAATATAAGTAATGACAGAAACCCAAGGAATGTGTTCAAGGAGATATTCCAGGCTGGAACTATGATGTTAAACCGCTTCATGTTTTAACCACACAAACGTTTGGTTGGCGGGTGCTCTTGTGTGGTTTGTTCCTTCTTTCCTATCAAATATCTGTCGACCATATCCACCTTCCCCCCTTTTTTTTCTTTGTATGAGTTTTTATATACAGTCGAACCTTCCCACAGCGGTCACTTATACTTGTGTCAATGTTTGTTGTTCCCAAGGTCAAGGCTGGCTTCGTGATGAACATCCTGGCTGTCCCGATCCTGGTCGGAATGACTGCGACCGTCGGTGATGCCATCTTCGACTTCAGCAACATCCCACCCGAGTTCTACAACATCACCCTCTCCGGCGTGATCTCGGACCACTAGACCAGTCCACCGGTCCTTCTGTCAGATGTACTGAAACAAGCTGTTTTCTTGCTTTGTCGGCTTGTTTGGCAGAGACACAGAAAGAACAGATTGAAAGTAAAGAAGTAGGAGCTACCAGTGGCGCCCTCAAGCCACCCGCTATGCTCTTGCAAACGATATATTGAGACGCATTCAATAAGTCTTTACCTCTTTACCCGGACTACGAAGGACGCCAGCCAAAAATTTGAAATTTGACTCTCATAATGCTATTTTTCTACATAGTCACCTTGCAAATTAATTTTTAGTTTTTATATTTTTGTTTGACCTTCAAAAGTCCTTGGGCACAATATGACTTTGGGTGGGACTCAAACCATTCCTTCAGTGCAGATAATATATCATTTTTATAATTATGGAAACGCTGTACTTTGAGAACATTTTTCGGATTTGGGAAAAGAAAAAGGGTCAGAAGATGAATAGGGTGGGTGAGGTAGAATTTCGTAGGCACACTGCTTTGCAGTCTGGGTTGTCTTAACTGCTCTGTGCACTGGAGCATTGTCATGCGGCATAAAACATTTTTTCACACCCACCCCACCACACATATCCAAGAGCTACATTCACTAAAAATGCTCTTAAGTTCAAACCGCTCATCAGATTTTGTCGAAACTCCACATGCAGCGTTCTAAACTGATAGAAATGACTTCCTGTAGGTTTCATTGTTTTAAGAAATTCTTTCAAAAAAGGGTAAAGAGTTATTGAACGTTTCTCATACTTCATATCCTTTTTTCCTGTACAATTAATTAGTTAGTCAGGTTCATCGGTGAAGATGACCTAGATTAGAGATCCAGTTTTTTGTGCCCAGGAGGAAGAATCAGGGGAGGGAATCTGCTTAAATCCTCCTCCTCCTCTCCCCCCCCCCCCGACCACCAACCCACCAAATCCCCCACCTCACTCTTTTTTCTTTAATTGAAACACAGAGAGGGAGAGAGAGAGAGAGAGAGAGAGAGAGAGAGGGAGAGAGAGAGAGAGAGAGAGAGAGAGAGAGAGAGAGATAGAGAGAGAGACAGACAGACAGACAGACAGACAGACAGACAGACAGACAGACAGACAGAGACAGAGAGAGAGAAACAGACAAACAGACAGACAGACAGACACGCTCGAAGACTGAGGGAGAGAGGGAGAGAGTGAGAAAGAGAGAAAGAGAGAGAGTGAGAGAGAGAGAGAATGTGGGAGTGTGTTTGTGTGTGTGTGTTTATGTGTGTGTATGTGTGTGTGAGTGTGTGTGTGTGTGTGTGTGTGTGTGTGTGTGTGTGTGTGTGTGCGTGTGTGTTTGTGTACTTGTGCATTCCGTTCGTGTGTTTGTATCAAAATGGCTATACAAGTATAAATGTACTAGAGCTCGTGGCAGTGACGTCACCGATGTAAACGAACGGGGCTGGCGTGTATCCACTCCGGGACGATGAGCTTTGAGGGCAAGAACATGCGCAGTTCAACGGCGCGTGAGTACTTTTCGCCGAGACTCACGTGGAGACGCCATGACGATCTTTGGAGGAAATATATAAGCTTGAATTGAAATGTGGGGCAGGACGGTGTTTGATATACCAGAGCCCATGGAATGCGAGCTAGGGCCTCTCATTGTTCGAGTAAATGGGGGGCGCACCGGTCATACCGTTGAGGGCAAGAAGACCCCCATGTTTGACACGTGTGACGTCACTGTCATGGCTTTTGGGGCTCTTTAGATCTATAACCTCTTTGGTTTGTATATAAAACATTCCATTGTCTTCCTCTAAACAGAATTATGGTTTGAAACATGAAAATTGTATCATATGAACAGTGTACAGCAATCCACTCCAACATTCCCGGTAAACATTTGTGGTTTAAGTTTGACAAATAAACATTTAGGTAGTTAATATCCACCTTCTGAGCATTTGTTATTGAGTAGAAATTCCTGCAGTATGTAGGTCCTAACACAAGTAATAGAATATTCTCTTTCGTGTGTCTGCCTGATAAAAACCCTTAGCTCATTTATGGATTTGTCTATGTGTACGTTTCTTGTGTGTGTGTGGGGGGGGGGGGGGGGTGGCATTGGAGTCCTGTATGCCAGAGACCAAACTTCCTTTTTTTTCAAATATCATTCTTGATCTAGTGATCCTTTACTTGGGCCCTATACTAAACACTGCCCTTTGGGTGCATACACAGTACCACTGCAATAAATTATTTACAGTAGCCTTGCTTACAAATTGCTTATTTTGAGACAACGACACCACTCTGCCTCCACAATCATTTCAACGTAACTGCAGAACTTTTCCCCCTTGACCGTCTAGATGTCTCAACATGAGTAAAAAAATTCTCACTCGTCTGTTAGACAGTGTTTCATAGCTGTGAGTTACAGTGGGGTGATAATGAAATAGGTCAGTTTTACGAAGTTTTAGGTGCATGATACCAATCACCCTTTCCTTTAGATTTACGACCTTTTAGGCTAACATCAAAGAAAATGTTTTGGGACCTTTTTTCCAGTGGCCTTCATTAATGGGCTTTAAGATTTTGTTGGTCGTTCAACTTTTGGACTCTCATGCAAATACCTAGAAAAATTAAACGGAGTCATTTGTTTCTATCTCCTTTTAACCGCGGACAGGCGAAAGTGAACAAGCTATAATTCTACTTTTGTTATTGTATTTGGTGTTGTGATTCTGCTGGTTGTTGTTCTTGTCGATTCTGACACGGACTACTGACCACATTTGATGATGAAGATGATGATGATGATGATGATGATGATGATGATGATGATGATGATGATGATGATGATGATGATGATTTTTTGTTTGTTTCCTAATTGGGCTTGGTGGACTCCACGAAGAAATCTTCGAGCGAGAGCGAGGCTCTTTTACTGCTAAATTGTCAATATTATACTTAGAGGCACCTCCACTCGTCAAAATAACTCCATTCGAATTGCCATTGTTCTTGGACATTCAAACATATGTTTGACATTGGTGATGATGATGATGATGATGATGATGATGATGATGAGGATGATGATGATGATGATGATGATGATGATGATGATGATGATGATGATGATGATGATTTTACCTCCTCCGTCTCCTCTTTTACCTCTTCCTCCTAAACGTCTCCTCCTCTCAATCTCCCTCTACCTCTCCCTCTCCCTCGTGATCTTGTTCTTGTTATTTGTGGTGGTGTTGTTGCTGGTGTGCTTTGCTCTCTCTTTCCTATCAAACATATCCTATCGTTCTTATCTCGCCTCTTTCTTTTCTTTGACTATTATTCTCTAGTTACAGCTTTAATCTCCAGCACTAGGATGACCTATTTGTACTGAAAGCACTATAAAACTCTTACCAAGACAAACTAAATCATACTGTCAACATAAATCCTCCTCCTCCTCATCATCATCATCATCATCATCATCATCATCATCATCATCATCATCATCATCATCATCATCATCATCATCATCATCATCATCATAATACCGTTCAACAGCACGCTCTATGTGTTTCACAATCTATACTTTTACCCCAACAGACCTGAGAGCATTTTGAAACAGCTTCTTCTTCCTGGGAAGCATACAGTGCAAGCAGTCATTTATAAGCGCTAAAACACTAACAACTAGTAGTATACTGACAAGATCTTTCACTGTCTATGGCCGGGTACCCATTCCCACCTGGGTGAAGTGAGGAAAAATCGAGTAAAGTGCCTTTCCCAAGGACACAACGTCCCGCGGCTTGAACCCCCGAACCCGCAACCTCACGATTACGAGTCAGGTAGCATAACCACTAAGCTACCAACACTACAGACATGAAAGTAGTTGCAGAATCATAAGAAAAGTATGATGTAGTGAAGAGGAAACTATGATGTAGTGAAGAGGAAACCATCGTCTTCTGCAATAAAGTTTGTAAAATAGTATGAGAAGAGGATTAGAATAGTGAAATCAAAAAGCTAGTTTTTGGTGAAATATCGGCTTCAGAAGCTATAAATAGAACCACGCATCTCTCGATCCGCACGTAGCGGACACAATATATCCGATCATCACAGGAACAAAAGACATTGCCGTGGCATATTCCAAACCAACATAGTACACAATACAGAAACACGAATTTGTACATCTCAAAGTATGCATGTTGGTTTTTTTTATCTCCAGATACAGAAAACAAAATGGAAAAGTATGTATGAATAACAAAATTATGCTTCTTATTTCATGTAAGTGCCCCCAAAACAGCACGTCCCCAAACGCGCAACAAGCGTGTTTTCATGAGTTAATAAATCCGAACAGGAAGCTCTTATGACAAAACGTGTAGTCTTTTTTAAATCATGGACAGAAGAGTGTTCATAAACGTATTTTGAGCAATAGGTTGTAGAATATTTCTAATAAAAAAACAAAATAAATTGAATTAGAAATAAGAAGTAAACATTTCCACACCTATAGGCTGGTCTTTTTTCCAGTTAAACAATAATATAGCCTTATGATGCCCCTGTCCCACTCTTTCTCTCTCTCTCTCTCTCTCTCTCTCTCTCTCTCTCTCTCTCTCCCCCTCTCTCCCCCCCTCTCTCTCTCGCTCTTTCTCTCTCTCTCTTGCTCTCTCTCTCTCTGTCTGTCTATCTGTCTGTCTGTATGTCTGTTTGTCTCTCATTCTCTCTTTCTCTCTTTCTCTCTTTCTCTCTTTCTCTCTCTCTCTCTTTCTCTCTCTCTTTTTCTCTCTCTCTCTTTCTCTTTCATTCTTCCTCCCTCTCTCTCCCACACACATATACACACACGCACACACATATTTACAAGCACAAACTCGCTTATGTACATATGTACACTCTTACAGCCTAAAACTCATAGCACACTCTTTGGGTACACATAAATATAGCATCCAAACAAAATCATTGGGATAAAATACCAGGTGTAAAGATGCACAACTTCACCTACAAAAGGTTACGTCATGTGAGTTTCTGTTAGATTCGACATAACAACTAACATGTTCGAAAAACAGACTTCTAGAAACTTCCAGAAACTGGCTCTACAAGACGTGATAGAAAGATTCAAACCCTCAGAAGTAACCTTGATGCAAGGTCAGGGTCACCCGTAGAAACAGTCAGTGTCAGTTTGGAAGATCTGACAACATTTGTGAGGCAGCGTGGTGGAATCAGGCTCTCGTCAAATTTTGGGCCTGTAGAGTTATTAGTATCATCTTAAAGCGTATTCACTTGTTTTTATTTGGATGAAAAAAGTATCCATTTATCTTGAATACAAGTCGAGATATTTGCGAAAGAAGGAGGTGGGTGTCACCTGTTTTCAGAGGTAAAATTAGTGAGAAAATGGCCGCAAAGATTAGTTATTTTCTTAGCTTAAGAGTCCGTGGTAACTAAAAATTTACATTTTTGTGCCTTTATTCAACGTTTTTCAGAAAAATTCACACAGAAATGAGTTCTGTAATGGGCATGAAAGGTGTTGAGCCAAAAAACAAAAAAACTGATAAAGATTCACAAACCTGCCGAAAAATGCAAGTTTCTTCACTTTGATTACTTTGACAAGAGCCTGATTCCACCACGCTGCCTCACATTTCATTTTTAAAGCTATTTCTTCATTTTAGAACATCATAAACCGGTATATGTGTTGTAGCGCTTAAATCCTTTGTAATATTATGCATAGAACGACAGTACGAGAGTCGATTCCCAAGTGGGAATTACTTTCTTCTTAAACAGCATGTGGAGAGACTTTTTATATCAAATATCTCTGTCCGTCTGCTGTGATGTTGTATTCCTTTCCGCCCACGTTGGCCTGACAGACAGAGAAGAAGCAGTCGATCTCTTAGTTGGCTACAGTGTGTCGAGGGAAGCGCAATATCAGTTCTATTCACGAAAGGGGAATATTTTTAATCGAGCATTGTGGTCTTTTTCAGTCCGTGTTGGCTCTGACAGGCAAGACCGAAGCCCATTTTCGATAATCTAAATTGAGTCAATGGGAGCGTAAAATACTTATATAAGAATATAAATATGTCGTGCGTTAGCGGCGCGTGATCCCCAAACACCGATAGGGCTGAGCAAGTTGTGTAATGCTGTACAGTGGACATTGACATCCCCCCCCCCAAAAAAAAAAG